ACAAACAAATTTTCGAACTTGTTGAAAATTATATTTTTGAAAAAAATTTAAAAACTCCGCCGTATAATAACACTTGTCATTTCTTTACTTGACCTTCATTACGGTCTAGAGATTTTGATTCTTATTTTTTCTTTTTTTTAATAAAAAGCACCGAACCAAAGAAATTAAAAAAAAGAAAAAAGAAAAAAGAAAAAAGCAAATTCCAGTAATGACCCGACTATTTAAACCCTGGGTTTAACCAGTGCCCTAAGAGGATTCTTCATCACCACAGTAAACTCTAATTTCCCGGTAAAATCCAAGGGGCTGTTTGGCGGATAAGCACTCCATTCAAATTCCTGCACCATTCTCGCCAGCATCAAGTGAACATGCACCGTCGCCATCCCCAGTCCGGGGCAAATCCTCCGCCCCACTCCGAAAGGCATCATCTTTACCCCTTTAACCCCCGTCATATCCGCATCTTCCTGTCCTGAAGCGAACCGATCCGGATCGAATTTTTCTGGGTTGGTCCACAATTTCGGATCCTCACTGATTGCCGGTAAGTAAATCTCGACGTTTACATCTGTCGGAATGTGGTACCCCGCCAGTGTCGTCGGCTCTGTCACCGCATGGGTGAGTGAAAAATATGTCGGTGGATGCTTCCGGAGAAGTTCTTTTCCCACCGCTCGGAGATACGCCATTTTTTCGACGTCCTGTTCCTCCACCTTCCGATCACCCACTGTTGATTTAATCTCCTCGTAGAGCTTGGATTGCACATCTGGGTTCGCGATCAACTGCGCTATGCCCCACTCTATGGCCGTTCCGGTGGTATCGGTCCCACCGTTAAGAAACTCAGAACAGAGTGTCACGAGCTCTGCATTCGACGGTCCCGATTTCCTCCCTTCCACTTTTAGATCGAAAAGAGTATCGAGGTAGGAAAACGACATCGCTGATTTGTCTGACCCAGGATTCTGGAGCATTTTACGGCGTTTTTCAATGAATTGAACGACGTAATCCACTTGTTTCTTACGAACTTCCAATGCTTTGTTTCGTTGCTTGGAAAAAAAAGGACTCAGAATCGGAAGATAATCGTCAATTCTTGGATCCAGAACAATCAGAACAGCTTTCATCATCTGATCCATTTTGTCCACCGTTTCTTCATCCATTTCAATCCCAAAACACATAGCTAAAAGTATACAGAACACCGCGAATCGGGCATTTTTCAGCACCCAAACAACACCGTTGTTAGCCTCTGCTTCAGCGCGAAGACGGCTGACGAGTTTATCCATAGCCTTCTCTCTTGCACTTCGGAATTCCTTAAGCCTGGTGGAACTTAACATGTTCTGCACCATATTACGCCTCAGGGATCTCCAGACAGGGCCGTGAACTGCAGCATTTACCGTAAATTTATTACAGCTGAAGATGTTGCGAGTTGGGTTTTCCCTTGGCCTGCTGGCGAACAGAGCACCCCTCTCAATCAAGGCCTCATGGCAGAGTTTGGCGTCGCTGAGTATAATCATGGTTCGGGTCCCCATTTTGAGAGTGAAAATGGGACCATATTTTCTTCGGAGATCATCAACGTATTGGAAGAAGGGTTTACCTGAGGAAGCGAATTGGAAGAGATTGCCAACGACAGGCCAACCGGGAGGACCAGGAGGGAGCTTTAGGGTTTTGGATTTGGACTTGGATTTCCGGGAGAGGAAGAAGAGGAGAGCAGAAAAGAGGAATGCGAGGAGAGTGAAGAAACAAGAAGAAGGAGCCATGGGTAAAAGGAAGGAAGATGTTGAGTGGAGAAATGGGGGAGGGAGTATTAAAATAGGAAGAGCATGAAATTGCAGGTGGGGAAGCTTTAATTAAGGCTTGTCAATGAAAGGTTTCTACCACATGGGGGTGTAGTTGGGAGGTTTTAATTAAATGTAGACAAAAGAAGAGAAGATCAGGAAAACCATGGGCTCAACCTAACCTCAGAAAACCGAGATAGTCTTTCATATTTACCACAAAAACACTCGGTCAGATATCCGACCAAAAATTGGTTACCATTAAATTTACACTAGTATCTAACAAGACAAGACAATAACAATTCAACTAATGTTTAATTTTTTTCAAAAATAAATAAATAAATAAACATAGCCATGCAATTTTGTTTAATAATTTCAGTATATATGCACTCGTTTGATATACAAATTTTAAAATATAACGTAAACAAAGCAAATGTTGATCATTACAACAAGTGGAACGAAGTGAAAGAGGTATAGAGGGGAATCAGAGGGATGGGTACATGTCTTTGTGTTTATTACAGACAACTACTCAAAAACTGGTTGAGTTAATGAGGTGACTTAGGAAATGCAAAAGAACAGAGAAAACAACAACAACAACAATAGGGTTCTTCTGGCATAGATTTCTGGCAGGTAGTAGAAGAAAAAATGAGGGGGAAACAGGTGTTGGTCGGGGCTCACAGTTTAAGAGATGAAGAGTCCGAGGAATTCGAGAACGGAAAATGGATTCGACCGTTGTTGCTCATCTGATGTCTTTCACCAAATCATCAGAATTCAGAACTGTACTTAGCAAAGTCAAAGTCTTCATTTATAGTAACTCGGTTCTTCAAACTTAAAACACTGCCATTCCAGATCCCAGGGACGTAGTGCAGACTGGAGCCCGTGACAAAATCCACATGCTTCCTCCCACTAACATAAATAATGTTCTGAAATTTTTTCTACCATAAATTAGTACCAAAACATATTGGCAAGTGAAAAAGAATAAATTCAGGATATAGGATTCAATGATTTTTACATCTCTTTAGACATTTGGTGCACACACCTATGTTTAACAAATTGCTTTCATAAACAAAAATTATATATTAGTGCCAAACTCATATAAGTTATTAATGTTTAATTACCCACAAATTTTAGAAAACTGAAAAAAGACATTATTCCTTTCTTCGCCCAATTAAACTCGTATCACTGCTTGGGGAAAAATATCAAACCAAAATTTTTTTGCTTTCTCCTCTTTTTTTTTTTTTTTTGGGGGGGGGGGGGGGGGTGGGGTGGGCATGAATTCCTTTTCATTGCCTGGGACGTAATTTTTCATTATGTTTTTAGTTATTTGATTTTATTTAACAATATTTCTTGATACTTTACATTTTAGTCATTATATTTTTTATTATTTTAAAAATATATAAAATGTATTTAATATTTATTTTAATTAATATTTTATACTTTTTTAAAAAGTTAAGGAAAAAAAACCGTACAATACAACTACATCAAAGAAACATGTGATTACCGATCACTTGAGTGATATGATGGTAAAATGGGCGCTTATATTAGGCATGATCTTGGGACGTTTAGGCCCAAGAGTTGGTTGTAAATTGTGATTACATTCCACCACCCCAATTTATAATGTTTTAATAATAAAAATGTGAGTAAAAATCTTTCAACAAGAAAAGTGGAAGTGAAAAACAAAAGTATTATGTTAAGTTGTCAATAATTTAAATAATTTAGTGATATTTTTTTAAAAAATAAAAAATTCTAAATTTGAGTTGTATGATATAAATGGGATGAATTGAGGAAAAGAATATAACTACCTCTTATTATCTAATCCAAAAAAAAAAAAAAATTATCATCTTTTGATATATAATCAGAGTAGGGGGTGCGTTAGTGCAATATTGCATTTTTAGTTTGGGCCTAAAAAGCCTAGAAGGCCCACCTATTGTGCTAGCCATTGCAGACCCACCTATTTGTGCCTGCCCCTTAACACAGGTGAAGCCTATTGCATTACATAGGACTAGCCCAGGATAACGTCTCAGAAATTACCAGCAGTTTTGTTAGGCCCAAAAACCAAAAACAAAGGGAAAAGCGCTTTCACGGAGGATTTTTACGTAAATTGACATTCCACCTTCTTTTTCGCTCATTTTCCCTGCTAACCATTGACGGCCGAGAGAGAAAGGGAAAATATGTTAGGGTTCAGCAGGCTAAAGTACATTTCCCCTCCGCGAATCCCAGGAATCCCTCAGAGGCCTACTTATCTTCTTCCTCATAACTCTTCTTCTCCATTTATCAAAACCCAATTTCGAATTCCCAGATCCCCTTCAAGATTCGCATTGTTTGCTCGAAACGGGAACAACGATGATCTAACCAAAGAATCCGGCGAGAAGGAGAAGCCAAATGGGTTCGTCAACGGTGACGGTGGCGATTTTGATTCGAAGAAGGATCGGCAGCCTGCATTTAATTTCAGGTGGGGTGACCTGCTGGACCCTGACCCTGACAACATCCTGGCTGTTGGATTGACGGGTTTGCTGGCGTGGGCTAGTGCCCAAGTTCTGTGGCAGCTCTTCTTTATCTCGTTGGCCATTCTGGTTGCTGCTCTCAAGTACACTTTCATTGCTGCTCTCCTCATTTTCATTCTTATTACCCTTCTTTGAATCTCTGCTCTACCTTACTTGTGCAAGTTTTGTCCCTTTTTTTTTTTTCTCAAAATTATACTGTTATATTATGAGCTCAAGATGAATTGGGAGATGTTGTTTCTTATTTATTTTTTTTTTCTCAATGAAGAGCCTGAGGAATGCAGATTCATTGGACAATCACTTGTTCTTATAATCATATTTGCAAAAGTACAGATGGAATAGCAGTCTTATTGGTTGTAAATATGATCACAAATCATTGGCAAAAAAAATGAAGAAGCAGATTTGAATATGGTGAATATATGTGATTTGCACAAAATATCTTGTTTTAACTCAAATTCAATGCTGACATCCTCCACTTAGTATAGAACTGAAGACAAAAATTATGGGACTGTTTTGAGAAACAAGCCTTACAAGTTTGCATTATTGACCAAATTATAGGATTGTCAAAGAGAGAAAGCTTGTGTTAATGTGAAGCCGCCAATAAACAATTCTATGCTTGAGACCGCCTTGCCCATACCTTTTAGATGCGGAGGCCAGTAGGCCAGTGGCCTTAAACTTTATGAGTCGAGACTTAGTGGGGTCATGTAGGGGTTATGCCGTTGTTTTTCGAGTGTGGATGTATAGATGATAAACGATACCCCTTTTTTTTTTGTTTGACTTGTATCATGCGAGGGAAAGGCAAACTTCTTTGGCTTAACTCACTCACTAGAATATTAACGGATTCGAACTTGATACCCCTTATTAAAACAAAAAAGAAATAGTTATTGAATCAGTTAGTTGTTGATGTTTTAAGGAGGGGGTTTAATTGGTCAAGTGACTAAAATTTTAAATTGAAAATCTTACCTTCAAATTTTGAATTAAATAGATAAAAATTTAGAAAAATAAGAGGTTTGTTATCTCTTATATAACTCATTAAATGTACAATTAATTATACATATCAAATCTGAACACCAATAATTTTCACAAAAATATGTTTCTAACATAAAGTCAGAACATTACAAATTTAAAAATAAATACAAGTAATTTGACACCATCAAACATCAAACACTCTTCAAATAACTTAGACAATATCTCAAAAGACTCTCCACGGTTATATGTCACGAGCAAAAAAGAATAAGAAGTCTATGTAACTTTCCCAGGCCGATAAAAACCAGCAGCCAACTGAAGCTAGGTATGCTATAATCGCTAGTAGTACACGCCACTTGTCTTCTAAAGTAAGGATAAGAGCAAAAGTGAAGGCCAGGATCATGGTTACCACTGAAATGATAAGTAAGATAATAGAAACTGCCATACAAAACAACGAAGCACTGAAAGGAGCTATGAAAAGAGATCCTAAAAGAGGAACTCTAAAAAGAGGTTCTCTTCTTTGGTCTGCTCTGACTGTGAGTTCAGTCAGGAATCCCAACAATGATGTTGATGCAGTCAAGAAGGACACTGTATCACATACTAGAAACCCTAAAAACAGTTTTCTGTCCGATAATATGGGTACTCCGGTGTCATTGTTGCCGCCAGGAACCGTAAAGAGTGCTGCAAACATAATGGTAACAATTAAAACAGATGCCAGAGTATAAGACTCTGCAGTTTTCTTTACCCATTCCTCAACTTTTTTTGCCAATTGAGCGTGTTCCTTTTTAAAAACTTGCTCTGGAGTTTCACCGTAACGATTTTCGGCTTCATGACACCAGCTTGGAAGGCAACTCTTAAACCCCTGCCATTTCATAACAGCATTAATTAGCCTTAAAATTTAAAGTGAAAAGAAAATAAATGAATTAATTAAATCTAAAAAAAAACAAGTTATCTGATTACTCAGGCCCAGAAATTACTCCAGATTAAACTTACCCCTAAAAAGAGACTCCACCGAGATTTCATAATCCTATCTACTTGTACATTTCTTTTTCTTTTTCTTTTTTTTTTCTAATTTTATATTTCTAATTTTATACAGGAAAAGACGTGAATAAATATATAAATTTTGTCCCTTGTACTTAAGAATGTGAACTTTATTAGTTTTTAAACAAAATATTAAATTTTTAATTTTTTTAT